CAAAAGCCCCTTCCTCCAGCTGTGACAGAACTACAGGTGAACACAGGACATGGGTGAGACTCCAAACACACCTGCATGGGTCAGAGGCCAGGGGCCATCCACGAGGGCAGTGTAACCGGAGAGGAAGGTGACAATGACCCCGTGCAGGAGGGTGACCAAGCGGCAGCTCCACTCGGAGGAGCGGTGCTTGTTCCAGCGGCAGAGGCAGAGGTACAGACACAGCCAGGTGACAAAGCTGCAGGTCACTTCCAGAGCGATGGAAACCATCCTGCTGGACGCAGGGGGAGAGTGTCAGGAGGGCAGCAACACCCCCGTGTTCATCCACACCGCCCACCTCGGTGTGTTCATGGAAACCCCAGAGAGGGGAATAAAAACAACTAACCAGCCAACCAACCCCAAAACACGAGGAAAACAAACCAGCCAAGAGCCTCGTCCCCCTCCCCTGAGCACGGTGCTCTCCCCAGCCCCCCTTTAGCACCAACTGGCCAAACCCCACAATCTCAGCCCTCCCGGTGCCAAAGCACCTTTGCCCTCCCCGACAGCCCCTCTTCCCTCGGGGGCCAGGACACCCGGGGGGACCAGACCCCCATCCCCTGCCCGGCACGGGCCAGAGGTTACCCAACAACCCGGGAGCACCCTCGGTCCTTACCCCGGTCCGGGCGCTGCCGCCGCCCCGCCGGGACCGGCCCCTCTGCGGCTCTGCTGGCCTGGGACCTGCCCTGCTCCGGGGCTGTCCGGGCTGGGAGGCCGTGCCGGCACACCCGGAGGCTTTTATCTTCCCTGCCCTGCCCTGCCCTGCCCTGCCCTCCCCGGCCCGGCCCCCGCGGGTTCCCCGGAGGATGCTCCCCCTGCATCCCCGCTCGCTCTGCCCCGCTTTTACCCAGCCCGGAGGCGAGCGGGCTTTACCCAGCTTTACCACCCCGGAGGCTCTCCCCTGGGGCTAGGAGAGAGCCGAGCCGCCGGGGCAGGGCGGGGAGGGAAGGGGGAACGGGGCGGGGGAAAGAGGGACAAGCGTTTGGTACCTCCGCCCATCCCCGGCCCTGCCCGCTGCGGCGCTCCCGGAGAGCCCCCGGACCTCACTCGGGCTGGATGTTTCCTTCTGCGATGGAGGAGGATAAAGCTGACAATAAAGCCGGATCAGGCTGATGTCTTTTTGTTTTTTTTTTTTTTTCCCTCCCAGTCTTGAGTGTCCTGGAATCCTCTTTCAACTTTTGTACCAGTTTTGAGAGCAGAGGCAGACAAGGAGCCACCTCGGTGTCGTCCTGTGCTGATTGCGAGTTGGGTGAGTTTGGGGCAGCTCGGGGCCGAGCTGGGGAGTGGTGCTGGACGCCCGATTAACTGAGAGATGTGACACAGAACACGCAGAACAGGATGAGTGAGCGAGGAGCTGAGCCCAGCAGAGGCAGGAGTGAGTAACCAGGGGGAGGGCTGTGCTTCCTCCAAGCCCTCACAGCCAACTCACACGGTGTCATTTCTGTTTACCCAGTTTGCTGTAAAAATTGAGGTTGTGCGTCCCGAACAAGCCAAAACCTTCCCGACATCCAGAGCACCACGCTGGGAGTGAAACCAACCCCTCAGAGCCCCCCACCATCACTGAGATCCCTTGTGTGTGCTGCACTCCAGAGGATGTTTCTCTGTGTTACACACTAAAATATTTTCCTGCTTGGATCACAGGTTATAGGTCGGTCTTATAGTTAGCTAAAACCCCCTGATTTTTGCCTCCTTTCCTGGCATTTTGGCCCCTGCTCTGAAGCAAACCCATGATCTGTGCAGGCAGGGACCCCCAGCACACAGAAAGGGGGTCCCACTGCAGCTCAGGCACCAGTCCCTGCTGGCTCTGTAAAGGTGAGCCTGAATTTAAGCTGAGCTGTTTTATTGGAGCATCAGGATCTCTGCCAATTCTACCTGGACTGTAAGGCCCAAGGCTGGGGGCATCAGGAAGCTGGAATTTCCTGCACCGTTTATTTTGATGCTCCTGTGAGACTGGAAGCATTCCTAGATGACAGGGGGATGAAGATATTTCTCTTCCAACAGGAGCTTTTTGTTTTTGTTTTTTGTGAAGCAAACAAGCTGCTGGTGTTTGTTTTCCCATCCAGGCCCGGTTTATCCATAAATCCAGGAGATTTGTCACTGTGTTTATAAACTTTGTGGGGGAGATCAGCTCTCGTGGTGTGTTTGCACAACACCTGGCTTTGATCTCACAGCAATACTAATGTGCACATGCCATTATCCAGCATTTAACACATTGGAAATTTCCCTCCCAGCTTTCAGAAATAGTATTCCAAAAATCTATGCAGTGCTGGTTTTGGTTTTTTTGTGGGTTTTTTTGGGGTTTTTTTGGGTTTTTTTTTGGTTGGTTTTTTTTTGGTGGGGGGAGAAAATTACTTGGAGGAACTCGTGAAAACTGAATGGAATAGTCCTTGTCAGTTAAGAGCCAGATTTTATCTCAGTGTATCTTCTCTTTGCTCTAAGGACACATAAAAATATATATCTGTAATATGTTTAATATATATTGTAAATAACTGCCTTAACAACTTTGGGTTTGGTCTCTTTTGATCAAGAGCCTCACAAACCTCTGGGAGCCTTTCCCAAGTGTTTAAATCAACTGGCTCTGCAGTCAGGAACCAAGTTACAGCTCAGCTACCAGGTACAGGATTAATGCAGGAATTACTGGATGAAGTGTGCAGGAAAAGGTTATCAGGGCAATCAGAAATTGAGCTTCTAAATAATTGCTTATCATCTATGAAATAACTCGAGATTTTCACAATAGAAACCAGCTGGAAAGTAGAGCTTTGCTGTTTAATATAAATGCCTTCTCTGATGGCTGGCAGGAAAATCAGCTGGAATGTTGAGCATTCCTGAACTCTGCCACTTAGCACAAATGGAGGACTGGGAGAAGGAAAGGATTATCATCTCCACTGCCTAAAGGGGATTAAGTCATTTGTCTGAGGTCATGCAGGAAGTCAAACCATCAAGACAGAGCGTCCCAAAGGTACAGGTCAGGGGTTTACATTTGTCCTTCCTGTCTGCTAATCTTTAAATTGATATTTATAGGCAAAATTAATTAAAAAAAAAAAAAAAGAAGTTGTTCCATCATGTATTTATTTTAAGAAGGTCTGTACTCTAGGAGGGAGAGGCTGGAGCAAGATGCCTCCATGCCACTTGAGCATCTTTTCCAGATGGATCTGGCTTTGAATAAGGATTTGAAAATTATTGCCTAAAAAGCTGGCAGGTCCTTTAGGTCTTTATAATTACAGGGCCTCGGGCAGCCACTCCTCTTTTCCATCCCTGGCTAGGCCCTGGCACAGGTTGCCCAGAGAAGCTGTGGCTGCCCCTGGATCCCTGGGAAGTGTCCAAGGCCAGGCTGGACGGGGCTGGGAGGAACCTGGGCTGGTGGAAGGTGTCCCTGCCCCTGGCAGGGGCTGGAATGGGATGATCCCTTGTGTGGAGGAGAATTTTTTTTCCCCCCCCTCCCTCAAGAATCCCGTAATTAAAGCACACGGGTGAAAAAAAATCTGTCACGTTTAATTCCTGTCAGTCTGGCTGGTGAAGACATTTCTCCCTGTTAAGAGACAATAAGAAGCTGCAGAAATCTCCCAAGAAAACCCCACCCACGCACGTGCCCCCAACCCTGTGACAGCTCAGCTTCGGAGCAATTACATTCAAATAATTCATTTCACCTTCCTAAATACAACTGGAAAGCAACAGAGAACAAGGCTTGAGATGAACCCTCCAAGCATGTAAGGGGATTTAATTAATGGCAGAAAGAAGGGCCACAGCGATCAGGAGAGTTGGATTAATGCTACCCAGCTACAGTTCTGGTTTTCCCAACATAAAATGTCACAAGAGATTTTGTGGGGGGGGGGGGGGGGAAGTGTCATTGGATTTTAACATTTCCACTGAAAAACAGAGATGATGAAAGTGGTTTAGTTAGAGGTAAATGAGTAGTGAGGGGAATCCAGGAAATAGAAATACATTTTGTCCCTGTTCTGTGTCAGAATTTTTTTTTTTAAAAACTTGGTTTAGTATTAAAAAAAAAAAAATTCAAGAAATGTTACCTGATCTTTTCCAGTCCTCATTATTATCAGTGTCTGCTTCTATAGCAAAACCTCACTCAAAGCAACAAATTCTATGTACAATGTTCAGGGAGGGCCCAACACTTTGTGTGAAAGCAGCTGATAAATTCTTTAAGGTCCACAGACCCCCTAACTCATCACACAGGACTGGATGAGTTGAATAAGAAAGAAGGGATCAAATCCCCATCAGTAACAAAGGATCACTTTTACTTTAAAAAAAAAGGAAAAAAAAAGCTCATATTTACCTAAAAAAAAGCCATCAGAAAAAAAAAAATTAGTACTACTCAAAAATGTCTATTTACAGTCAGTGACTCAGATACTCATTTATTTTAGTTCCACTGAATTAATGGCTTGTACCCATCTTTCCTGCCCAGGAATTCGTAAGACTCAAGCCTACTTTAAGAAAAGTAAAAGTTTGCAAAGTAACCCCAATTTTCCTGGTGACAGCCTGTGAAAGTTGATGTTCCCTAAACTTTAGGATCTCACGGAATTCTGAACACACCGACCTCAAGGTTCACACCTGAGCAACACGTGTCCTCCCAGGAGCAGGAAAGCAGAGAACAGACTCAGGAAAGAGCAGAACACCTCAACTCCCAAGAGGTTGGGTTTGGTATCAGGTAAAACCCAAAGAATGAGTTAAAGGGGAAAAAAAAACAAAATAAAATAAACCAAAAAGGGGAATGTCAAGACTCATCCTCGTCCCCACCAAATCAACACAAACTGCTTTCAGGCAGAATTTCACCCGAGGTTTCCAACAGCATCTGGGAGCAATAACAAGACCTGGACACAAATGTTGCAAAAGACAATTATTTTTTTTTTTTTTGTTTCATTTTGTTGGTTTTGAAAAGGGAAAAAAAAAAAAAAAAAAAAAAAAAAAAAAAAAAAAAAAAAAAAAAAAAAAAAAAAAAGAAAAAAAGGGGGGAATGAAAACAAAAAAAAAAGCACCTTTGGAAAAGAGCAGAATGGCTCAAAGCAAAGCAAGTTTGGAAGTGGATAAAGCAGAGTTGGCCTTGGAAATCTATGGAAAATCAAGGCCCACGTGTGGACACAGGTCTGTGGTGAAATGAACTGGGTACCCTCGGCTCAGTTTGGGGCTCGTGGGGTGTGTGCGTGGCAGCAACAGCAGGAGAGACCCTCCCTCGTGGGAAAACGGGTTTAGGGGGAGAAAGGAGAGTTCTGACACAAGAAATCCTTCCAGGTTAGAGCCTGCCAGGCAGTTCCAGCGAGGATGCAGAGGCTTGCAAGCAGAGGGCAGTGTGTGACATGCGGGCAGGGCTAAGCAAGGGCTCGCTCGTGGAGGGAACGTTCGTGGGGCTGGGAATCCTCGGGGGAAAGCGGCTGCAGTTTGAGTCCCTGGAGAGTTCCGCGGCTCCAAGGGGTTCCCTTGGACAAGACCTTCGCGTGGCAGCGCTTGGAAGGCACTGGAAGGCCGGGGTGTTGCCCCAGGAATTATTCCTGGAGGAGTTGGTCCATGGCTCGGAGTCAGAGCTCCTTTGACACACGGTGGAGGGGTGGTCTCAGTGGAGGTAGGTAGGTTGGTTCCATCGGTACCAGGATCTGTTTGCGACACAGGGAAGAAGAGCTACAATTGGTGATGCTTCCCCCTTGAAATAAAAAGCATTATTATTCCATTTCTAACCTTACTTCACTGGGCAAACGGTCTTTTACTCCTACAGCAACCCCCTGCCCTTCTGCAGATCTTCCTGATTCCATGTGCTACCTGGCTGTTGGACCTGCCCCATGTAAGAGGAGGCACAGGGTGATCCATGACTCAAATCCCACCCTCTGCCCCGTTTCCTTCCTCCCACACCACCCCCGATGTGATGGGGCAGAAGCTACAAGTGCAGAGAGCCCTGAGCAGCACAGGCACCTTCAGTGAATAATCAGGAGGGCTCTGAGCCCATGTCTGGCTCGATGCTTTTGCAGTATCTGAAGGCAGGACAGAGGGAAAAAAATAAATAAATAAAAAAAATCTCTGTTCTGCCACTGTGAGAGAGTCACTCCCAGCACAGCTCTCTGGGTGGCACTGCAGGAGAGAAAATTGGCTGTGGAGGGGGGTTATCCAAGCAGAAACAGCAAAAGATCCCACTGCTGCCCTCCCCAGTGCCCTGGTGAGCTCTGCCTTACCCTGAAGAGTTGAAACCAGAAGAGTTCATGGCAGCTTTGGAGTTGCTCTGGGCTGTGCCGGGGCTGCTGGCATGGAGGGCACTGCCAGGGGATGAGGGCCTGCTGGAGTTCCCTGGGGAACACGATGATGTTACTGCGTGTGAGAAAGCACAATAAGGCTGGGGTCTTCTCCTCCTCCTGCCAAGGGCAGCCCAGGCCCAAACGTTCCCACCACGTCCTGCTGTCCCTTTGATTCACTGCCTGCCCTGCAGGGGAAAGTGGGGGAGCCCAGGACTGCTCCCTGTGGCCCTTGGTTCCTATTCCTGTTCCCCCCTTCTCAGGGGAGATCTGACACTCTGACCTACCCCCCCTTGTTTGGCTCCCAAACCTAAACACCCCCCCAAAATTAGCCCGGGATTATCCTGGGAATGTCTTTATCCCAGCCAAGAGAAAGACTCGGCTGTTCTCATCCCATGTTATATGGGGACACTTTCCCTGGCCAAACCCAAGGGTTTTATGAAGAGTATCCTGCAAAGGGGACCCCAAAATCAAGTAGTCAGGGAGCAAGGGCAGAGGGAGGAGGGAAGGAAGATGGATAGGGCAGGATTCCCAAGGCTTACCAGTCCCAGGCATGGTGCTGTGCACTGGATTGACAGAGAGGGGCCCCAAGGACCCTGAGGTAGAGACCTGGGGAGAGACAGAAGCAGACAGCATTTGGCACTGTGAGTGTATAAATCACAAAATGCCACTCCTTTCCCATTCCCTTTGGAGTGTGCTGGCTCCCAGGCACACTTATCACCTTCATCACAGATATTTCTATTCCCACTCCAGTGTAGAAGCACCATTCCCATACCCAGGGCCATGAAAAGAATCCAGAATTAGTTTTACATGTTGCTGGCACCCTCTACATCCATCTAAACTCATGGACCAGCCATGGAAGAGCCTGAAGTGATCAAAATCAAGCCCAAATTTTCTGGAAGTCCCAAGATCCCGCTGCAGGAGTGGCTGCCCTTTGGATGTTCTGCCTGAAGCCTCCCAGCTCCCTCCCAGCAAACCCCACACCCTTTGCCCTCCTTGTCTGGGATGGCACACAGAAATCCTCGCTCCCAAGTGTCTCACCAGTCTGGAGTTGTAGATGGGTGATTTGATGGGGGATGGCATCGGGCAGCTGATCCGCTTTTCCTTCTGGCGCCGGTTGCAGAACCAGACCCGAACCACCTCCTTTTCCATGGAGAGCTGCTCTGCTATCAAGGATATCTCCTCTGAACTGGGCTTGGGGTTCTGCTGAGAGAGGCAGGAGGTTAAAGAAAGCCCCAGAGAGCTGCACCTTAGAGCATCAGTGTCTGGTGCTGGCAGGACAAGGGCGGGGTTGGCTGCGAACTGGGGAGGGGACAAAACTTGCTCCTAAGACAGAGGGTAAATATTTGAGTGAGAGATCATGTTCTGTGAACCAGCTTGGGCAGCAAGCCTCAGGGAATCCGTATGGGGTGGGTCACCCGTCCCTGCTGCTGCACAAAGCCCCACACACTCTTTAACAGCCCCTAAATCATTGCTGGGGTGGGCACCTGAAGCTTGGTGGTGTTATCAGCCAGCTCTGAGTACTGGTTGTGCACCATCTCAGAAGAGCCACTGCTCCTCTTGCCTCCTCCACCCCTCCTCGTCTACAAAGGGAAATGATAGCAACTCATTTATTTCCTGGTGCATTCTGACAGCAGTTTCAGCTCTGGGGGGGTTTGATCTCAGTTGGAGACTCCAAGGTCAAAAAAAACCCCCCGGCACAGGAGGTGCCAAGGCAGCAGTTCCCATCACAAAGGACGCCTTCTACCAGCTGAAAATGAGGTGCCAAAATGATCTGAGGGTGGCTGAGCAAATTCTGATATGAGGGAGAAGCCAAGGGAAAAAAAAAAAAACCACAAGGGCTGATCAGAAACAGTTTTGATGGGAAATTTTCCATGCACAATTTAGTCCTGCTGATTAAAGCTCCCTTTGCTTTCTGGGGTGATTTTTCTTGACATTCCTGATGCTGAAAAAGCAGAAGGCTCCACTTCTGAACGGTTTCAGCAGCGACTGTGGTCTTACAATAGCTGCCTGATGGTGGCCACAGAGCTCCTGTGACACAAACCTGCAGCTCAAAAAGAGAAGAGGTGGGTGCAGGAGGTCAGCTCGGTGGGTGATAACGGGGAAAATGTGGCGATAAAATTGTAACTCCCTTAAAACAACATTTACCGAGGAAACAATGGGGAATTTCTTTGGTTTTAACACTTTCCCTGGTAACCCCTTCAAGCATTTTCTAACCTGCTTTCAAACCAAACCAAAAGAGATGCCTATATATATATATCTATATTTTTAAAGATGATTCAGTGCTACCACGGCCTAGAAAATACTGAACTCAGAGAGAGTTCCCAACACATGGGAAGATTTTGCCCTCACATCTTGGAATCTCTTCTCCAGCGTGGAGCGAATGTTGGTCTCGATGCTGGTTCTCTTCTTCCTTTTCCGTCCAAACATCTCGTTCACTGAGGGGTAGGAATTGGGGGTGCTCATGGAAGAATCCAAAGGAGCAGATTCTGGGGAAAGAGGGAGAGAAAAAAAAAAAAAGAGATATTCAAGGAGATGATGAGTTGTTTCCATCCCCAGATCCTCTCTGTGCACTAAAACACCTCCTAAAATACGTAGAATGTTCCCACATTGTAGATCCTTCCTCTGATGAGGATCAAAATTGCTCCAACGGCCCCAAATCCATCACTGAGCTTGTCCAAATCAGGGAAGAAAGAGGAGTGCTAACATTTTTAATCCACACACTGCTTTTCCTTTGTCCAGCCTGAGCTCCAGCCTGCTCTGATGGGGATTTTCCAGGGGTTTAATTTCACACAGTTAAAGATGTTGGCTAAACCCCTTGGATAAATTAGTCAAAATCAGTCCGCAGAGGACACCAGCCCAGTCCTGCTGCCACTGGGGATTTCCCCTCCCAGTGATATCTTCCTTTTCTAATCACAGCTCCTGGGCTGATCTCTGAGCACCTCGAGCTCCTTCCCATTCCTTCCAGTTTACGCAGGGATTGAAGGGATTATCCTTTTCCTGGATGGATCCTCTCGCCCTTGGTGGCATTTCTGCACCTAATGTCACCCACCTGCATCACTCAGCCACTTCTCCAGCAGGGGTTTGAGCTTGCACATGTTCTTGAAGCTGAGGTTGAGGGCCTCGAAGCGGGAAATGGTGGTCTGGCTGAAGTCGTTGCCGTAGAGCTTCCCCATGGCCAGTCCAACATCCCCCTGCCAGGGAACACCCAAACCCCTCCATCAGCTCAGGAAAGCCCCCTCACAGCCATCAGGCCTTGTTTCCATGACCTGCCTTCCCAGGGGAAAGGGGCTTCGTTTTTTCCCCACAGGGACCTGCCCCACACCCCATCTGTTGGAGAAGGTGCAGATCACGAGGTAATGAAGTGTCGGGAAGGGTTTGCCCCTTCCTGCATTTGGAAGGGGACGCTGCAAAACGAGCCAAACTGTATCTAACCCAGCCCTTCCACCATCCCAACCTGTCCCCCACCACAAGCCACCCCTCCCACCCGTGAGGCCTCTCACCTGTGTGAACCCCAGCTTGATCCGCCTCTGTTTGAAGGTCTTGGCAAACTTTTCCAGCTCCTCCAGGTCACTTGGCTCCTCTGATGCCCCTGAGGGAGTCAGGTGCTTTGCCACTTGCAAATGCTGGGGGACATCCAGGTGGGGCTCCACTGATGAGCCAGGGAGCCCAGAACGACCCACAGCCTGTGAAAACAGCCCCAGAAAAGGATGTTCAGGGTGACAGCAATGGGGGGAAACACCCAATTTTCTGTGCTGTTTGCCCTCCACGAAGCAGCACCCTGCAGGTGGGGGTTACCTGTGATGCCAGGCTGGGTCCTGGCTGGGAGAGGAGGAGGCTGCCCTGCTGCTGAGGGAAGGAGAGGAGGTTTGGCTGCAAAGCTGAGGAGAGAAAAAGAGAGACACGTCTGGTCAGGGCAGCTCCTCCATCAGCTGGACATCCCTGCCCAGGAAAGGCTCGTGGAGCTCTGGGTGTTCAGCTCCATTAATCAGTTCTTGCTCAAAACACAAGCATTTCAGCCATTACCAAAGTGTCTGGCCCTGAGCTGGACTATGAGAAAGAAAAGGTTCTTCTCATGGCTCTTTAGCCTGAAAGGGATTATTGCAATAATTATGTAAGTAAAATATCTCATCTGCTGATCCCCTCATTACCCTAAGGCTGAACCAGAGCTTTTTATGGACCTCTAACTTTGATTTTAGGGGCCAAGCAGCAGAGAATTCACTCCATCCTTCATGGTGATCTCTCCCAGTGCTTAATCATCGTCGCTGTTGGACAAATGTACATCTTATTTCCAACATAAGCTTTTCTGACTCCCAACTTTCAGCCACTTGATCTCGTTAAAAAACCCCCCCTGATCCCACAGTTAATCTCATGAGCCCTCCCACTCTGCTTTCTATTATACATTTCATTTGCAAGTGTCATTTTGAAGCCATCTGACCCTTTCTTCTCTGCCCCACTGTATTTCATATAAATTGAATTTCTTTTGGAATATATGGACGGGCACAAAAATGATGAAGGGGAAAAAAGGAAGGGAAATCTATAAACCCAGCAAAAAGTAGTATTTATGGAGCCTGTGTAATTGTTTGGTTGACAAACTGCCAAGTACAAGCCCATATCTCTTACAGGGAATGTCCTACAGGACCAAGTTGTGTAGTTCCCCAGAAATTTAGTTTGGATCAAGTCCACTGTGAGTGAAACCTCTGGAATGCAGAGAGGATTTATCACCTCTCTACAAACAGTCAATATATTTAATTGATTTTAACTGACAATTATAGGGAAATCCACAGAAATTTATGGACTTCTGCTAATAAATAGGAAAACAGAATCTCCAGGATCAATCTCTCCCCCTCTCTCTTTTTTTCTGCCTTTTCTTGTTGAATTTAGCTCTAATGTGCACTGTCCCCTTTATTTATTTAGGCTGGGGTTTCAATGAGCCTTCCCTAACGCTGGAACAACTTTGAATTTCAAATCCAGGCTGGTAATGAGGTGCACATTTTTAACAGAGCAGGTAATTAATCACAGGAATGGCTTGCCTAGGGACATGGCAGATGCTCTGTCATTTGGAGTCTTTAAAATCATGATTGAACACCTTGGTGAAAGCTAAGCTGGAGCTCAAATGAAAATTATGGGCTGGATTCAGGAATCACCGGTCTGACAGCTGATGAGATTTGAGGCTGTTTTCACAAGATGAAGACTTCAGCAGCAATATTTTGACTGCCAGTATTCCCAGCATCTCCCTGGCTGCTCATTCCCACCTTCAGAGCACGGAGCTCGGGGCTGTGCAGGGAATCACATCAGGCCACGAGGAACCAGAGCTGGGGGTTTCTCTGCCCTAAAAACACCTTTAAACCAGCAAACCCACACTGAAATCCTTGGGAAGGCTGAGCCCCCTTGGCCACAAAATCCACAGACCGAGGTGTCCATCAGTCAGAACTCTGAGGGTGTTCCCCTGATGGCTCCAGGGACAACTTGGGGAATATTTTGTGCATCTCTTCAGCAGGCAGAAAACTCCTCCTGTGTCTGTGCCAAACAACCAGTTCCACAAAACCCAGCTGTGCCTTCCCTTCCACTCCCCCGTGGCTGTGCATGGACACAGCAAAGGATCGTTAAAACCTGGCAATCAATTATGCAAATGCGAGTGCTCCTGCACGGAAATCCAGCTCCTGGCCAAAAAAAACCCCAGTCTTGAGCAAGTCTGGAACTGGAAGGGGTCACAGCCAAACAAGTGGCCATCTGTGGGGAGTTAAAGCTGCCAAAAAAGTCACTGAACAGAAGAACTTCTAATCTGTAAAAGGCAGCAAGTTCTGCTTTGAAGTATAATATACTTATTATACCTGAATAAAAGCTGGCAGCAAGCAACAGATTGCCCTGACCCAATTTCAAACAAACTATATTCAAGATTCTTGGTAAATACACATCACATAGTTTCATTACACATCACTCAGCATCATTTGGCAGGGAGAAGAGTTTATGGGCTGTCAGTAGGAAATAAAATTCCCATTTGCCCACGTACAGGGGATGTACCAGTGGATTTGAGCTGCAGAGATTTAAGGGTTTCATTCTGAATTTTGGTTCGTACAGAGCGAGCTCTGTGCTGGAGTAAATCAAGAAGATGAGCCAAGGACCCAAATCACTTTGTATCTGTCGGGTGATGGATCAAAGCCTGCATTTGTCCCCGGGGAGCAGCTCCTCGCTGTGTTTGCAGGGAACCAGCCGGTGTCCTGAATTCCCGGTGGGAATTCAGCCTGGCCCCAAGGTGGCACTCTTGGAGCGCACAAGGCGCAGGTGCCGGGAGCATCTCCAGAGCTGGACCCTTCCACGTGGACCTGGGATCATCCCCCAGCCCGGGATGGGTGGGAAGCATCGGGTACCACAGGCTGGGAAAACCCAGCAGGCTGATTAAAAGCAACACCCCTTGAGAAGAGAGGTTTCTCCTCGATATTTATCTGCTTCTAACGATGCCCATTTCAGCTTTTGTGGCTCTTACCTTGCTGTCCTGCCTGAGACTGGGACAGGAGAAATTGGGGAACTGACTGCATATGTCCAGGAAGCAACACGAGCTGCTGCAGGGTGTGGAGGGAGCTCATATCCTAGGGGGGAA